GCCGCTTGCTGCTGTGTTTCTCCTACCATTATGGACTCTCCATCTTGAACCTATAAGCCAAAATAGACACTTTTTTTCTATTAGGTGCTTTTGGTCATGGCATTTCACTATAGCAACAAAAGAACAATTAATATGGGGGTGGGAAACAGTTTTACAAATATCAATTTTAAAAACAGTGAAAATCTCGGATAAATGCAGCAAGATACTATAGCAATCAAATAGAAGAAGAAAAAATGGATATTTAGGGATTCAGGGTGAGAAAGAGCACTTTAGACAGAGTGGAAAACATCAAAAAGAAAGCATGGTTGTATGTAGGAAAAATACATACAAAAAAAAGTCCAGTGACTTTTCAGCCAACTCAACTATTCAGTTGTATGGAAGCAGAAATTCAACAAGAGAGGAACTGGACTGCTGAAAGGATCTTGTGATAAAGGACAGAGAAGGCAGAGAGAACCAAAGTTCTGTGGAGCCAACACTCATACCATGACTCAGTAGGCAATTCCCAAGCCCAACCTGAGACTGTTCCTCAGGAGCTCCCCACTTCTCACCAGAGGCCAGAGCCAAGTCTGTGAACTTGGCTGAAGCCTTGGGATCCAGCTCCATCAGTCCTGCATACCAGTTGCCTCCCTGGGAAGCCACAACTTCTTTGGGACTAAAAGGCTATGTGCTGGGATGAAGTGCAGCTTAGTGATAGAGATCTTGCTTAGCACATGCAAGTCCCTGGGTTACATCCCCAGGGTTGCTAAATAATAAAAAAAAAATGTGTAAGTGGCTGTGTCTGTGGTAGTTAATGTCATCTACTTGGCACGCTCTAGACAAAGCACTGGACGGTCTCTGAGGGAGTTCAGGAGTACATTAACTGAGATGGGAAGATACAACTTAAGTGTGGAATTGAACAATTCTGTGCTGATTGAACAGGAGAAGCTGTTGTGGAATAGCTGTACACTCTGTAAAGATGTATTGCTCTGATTGATGTAATAAGATACTGAATGGCCAATAGCTAGGCAGGAGGTATGGGGGGAATTTCCTGGGAGAGAAAGGAAGAGGAGGAGGAGTCTAGGGGGTGCAGGATATGCCAGAAGATACTGAGAGAAAACAGGAGGTGCAAGATGCCACGTGATAGAATGTAGATTAATATAATGGGTTAATATAAGTTATAAGAGCTAATTAGGAACAAGCCTAGGCTATAGGCTAAACCTTCATAATACAAATTTCTGTGTCATTATTTGGAAACTGGTTTGTGGAACAGAGAAAGACTTGTTTCGTATGGTAAGCAATGTGGGGCTCAAATATCCACATAGGGCCTGAGAAAGTGGTCTCTTGGGTGGGCTTGGCATACAGAGGTGCAGCTCTTTTATTTGTTTATTTATTGGTTTGCTTATTTTTTATTTTTTTTCTAGACAGGGTTTCTCTGTAGCTTCTGGAGCCTGTCCTGGAACTAGCTCTTGTAGACCAGGTTGGCCTCGAACTCACAGAGATCCTCCTGCCTCTGCCTCCCGAGTGCTGGGATTAAAGGCGTGCACGAGGCGTTGTTGTACAGCAGAGCTCTTGAGCATCCTGCTAGGTAAAAGTGACTGCTACATAATGGACACCACACGTTCCCAGAGCTGGGGCAGTGAATGCACCTGCATGACGCTAGACTCCGAAGGAACTGGCAGGGGCAGAGCCAGCTGCCTGGTGTGACCATTTAAGATTTGTTTCCTGGTTGGAGAAGGCTGCAGGTGTGCAGTAAAAATGGTTCAGACCAAAAAAAACCCTTTAAACAGACACAATAAAAAAACGGGTATAGACAGTCATTGAAAAAAAATAGGTTAAATATAATAAAATCTTTAAAGAGAGAGTAAAGTAATATAAAAAGAATAAGCCACATCAGGATGGGAAATACACAGAGCATCTGGATCCTGTATGGTGCTTCGTTGACTTTGAATTTTTAAATGCTAATGCACAAAAATAGGTGCTGAGAGACATTGGATCATGGAAACTGTCAAATTAAACCAACCTATATATTTTAAGAATGTCTTCACTTGAGAATGAAAGTCAAAAATATGTTGCACTGGGGAAGAGGTTGTGCCTTTATTTCCACAGGAAACAAGTTATGATTCTTTTCAAAATTAATGAGAATCAAATTTGATTGGGGGAGACCTCTTGAAAATCTTGACTACAGACATGAAAAAAGAAACCAAGGAAGACTACAGGACAGGTGATGTATATACTGATCCCTCTACTATGGGAATAGCTCTGAGACTGGATGAAACATGATCCTCATGACTTGTCATTACATGCTATTCTTTCATATGGTATGGAGAGAGGTTTGCTTATATAATCCAAGCAAACATAAAGTTGACAGATGCCTTTTACCTGCTGAAACACAGAAGAAAAAAATTACTTATCTAACTTATTTGCACTGCACATTCCATACTTGTGTTAATGCAGATATATGTTACCTTTAAAAGTTTATCTGTTTTCAGAAAAAAAGGATCAGACACAAATACAGACAAATAGCCCAGGTGATCCAGCACCTCAGAATGCCTCTGCTGCAATTTTCTCAAAATTCTGCATCCATAGCAGCTTCAAAGCTGCTAGGTGATGACCTCATGTATTGCTCCAGCCAGGACTTCAGATAAGTCCTGTACTTTCCCATTACACTTAGACTGGACAGTAAATGATAGAGCTACCTCTCCCAGGACTTTATCACTATCTCAGTTTTCTCAGGGTCCCCTAGAGATGCTGTCACCCCCAGACAACAGGAAGCAGTCTAGAGAACCTGACTCCCACATCCCCAAGAGGTAGGGTGAGTGGTTTTTGTCATTCAACGGATTATGATGTTTATCATTGTTTAGGGGGTTTTGTAGGAAGAGAGGGCCCACTTGTTTGTCCCAGCCGCCCGGCTAGCTTACACCTGAAATAACCACACAGAAATTGTATTATTAAATCTCTGCTTGACCCATTATCTCTAGTCCCTTATTAGTAAACTCTCACATCTTGATTTAACCCATTTCTATTAATCTGTATATCACCACAAGGTCATGGCTTACCGGGAAAGATTCAGCATGTCTGACCTGGCAGCTCCATATTGGCTCTCTCCTGACTCTGCTTTCTTCCTCCCAGAATTCAGTTCTGTCTTCTCCGCCTACCTAAGTTCTGCCCTATCAGGCCCAAAGCAGTTTCTTTATTCATTAACCAATGAAAGCAACACACAAACAGAAAGACCTCCTACAACAGGGTTTGGTTACAAGTTGTTGCTAGTCATGGCCAGGGAAAAAGCTGAATGAAAGAGATTGGATTCAGGGATCTCTTTCTGAAAGGAAAAAGGCAGGGTATAATACAGAAGTAATGGGATAAAAGAGTGGATTGTTGAGTCTACTCTTTTTTTTAAATTTTTTTATATTTATTTATTTATTATATATACAATATTCTGACTGTGTGTATGTCTGCAGGCCAGAAGAGTGCACCAGGCCTCATTACAGATGGTTGTGAGCCACCAGGTGGTTGCCAGGAACTGAACTCAGGACCTTTGGAAGAGCAGGCAATGCTCTTAACCACTAAGCCATCTCTCCAGACCCTGAGTCTACTCTTGAACAACCACTAGTTTCAAATATTTTACATTGGTATGGATTTTTATATATTGCTAAAAATTTAAGGTTATCTGTGTTATACTGTATGTATGTTTCTACTCTTGTTTAGGTATTGTACCTATGCAGCTCATTTTAAAATGCAATGTAAAATTCTAGTCCTTGAAAGCTATTATTATAAACCATTTAGGTTAATTAAGAAACACAGGTTAAGGGACTGGAGACATGCCTCAGAGGTTAAGAGCATTGACTGCTCTTTCAGAGGTCCCGAGTTCAATTCCCAGCAACCACTTGGTGGCTTATAGCCATCTATAATGAGATCTGGTGCTCTCTTGTGACATACAGGCATACATAATAAATAATCAAATCTTAAAAAAACCCAGTTTAGTAGTTAGTCATCTATAATAATCAAACTTGTAGTCATGTTAGACTAGTTTTCAAGGTCATACAGAGATATATTTTAGATAGATGGTCTTCAAACATTTTAGAGACCTACAGAATATGGCATCTAAGATGTTTTAATGATATTAGGCTTTTATGACAATGAATCATGCCTGCTCTTGGCAGCACCCATTTACTTTTTTTTTTTTTTTAAAGATTATGGGCATCAAAGAACCTCCATATGGAGTTTGCTTTCAATAAAGCAAAGCTAGCCACTGGGCAAGAAGCTGCTTTTGTCTCAACTGCTGACAATATACTGTCCAAATTGGATAAGCAGGACACAAAAGAAGGTGACTGCCAAACTTTGATGTAGGTGGGCCTTCTGTTATGTGTTATTTTCATTGGTTAATAAAGAGACTGCCTTGGCCCTCTGATAGGACAGAAAATTAGGTAGGCGGAGTAAGCAGAACAGAATGCTGGGAAGAGGGCAATGAGGCAGACGCCATGGAGCCAGCCACTAGGTCAGACATGCTGAATCTTTCCTGGTAAGCCACCACCTCGTGGTGCTACACAGATTATTAGAAATGGGTTAATCAAGATGTGAGAGTTAGCCAGTAACTAATGCTCTACAGATAATGGGCCAGGCAGTGTTTAAATGAATACAATTTGTGTGTTGTTATTTCTGGGACTAAGCTAGCTGTGCGGGAGTCGGGTAGGATGAGAAGCAGGCCTGCCCGCAGCTCCTTCTACAAAACTTTGCCAAGACAAGAGAGGGAAATTCTTCGAAATTTTCCTGCTTCACAGAAAAGTCTGTCACATATTCTAGGCTGTAGGCTGAAGATGGATGCCTCACTGTTGCAGAGGAATCTTGGATGACTATCCAGGAAGCGAGCTATTTTCTGTCATTTTTATAGTTTTGGAAGTTGTTTGTCCTGCACTTTCTGTTTACTTGGATAATATTACATCTTCTCAGGTCTCTGATGGAGTTGAAGACTAAATAGTATACAATTTTCTTTGTTACCAAATTTTGAAAAAAAAACCTTACATAAGAGACATCAAGTTTATAAGGTTGAGAAGCATAAAAGCTTAAGTTGTTTATCTAAGATGTTTTTAGGTCTAAAAAATATTTTTAGGATGATAATACAAGTTATGACAAAAATGGTTTAGGTGTACAATTTTGGATTTGCTAAGATAGGATTGATAGCATAGTACTTTCTCCAAATTTGTCAAATACATATGTACTAAACATTGTAAATGTAATCTTACCTAATAATTGTTCTTACTATTTATAATTTTACTTTGTTAGGGTTAAAAGCTTTCCTTTATTTAGACAAAAGTGGGAAATGTTGTGGAATATTTTTACACTGTGTGAGTGTATATTGCTGTGACTGATGTAATAAAACTGGAATGTCTAATATCTAGGCAGGAGATAAAGACAGGACTTCTGGGGAGAGAAAAGAAGAGGAGGAGGAATCTAGGCATACTGGAGACACCAGAAGACACAGAGAAAACAGGAGGTGCAAGATGGAAGAGAGCTAACACCACGTGATAGAACATAGGTTAATATAAATGGGTTAGTTTAAGTTGTAAGAACAGTTAGGAACAAGGCTACAACAAGCCAAGCTTTCATAATTAGTAAGAAGTCTCCATGTCATTATTTGGGAGCTGGCAGCAAGGACAGAGAAAGATTTGTTACAAGAAACCAAGTGGAGAAACAGCATTTATTTTTCTTTGCTTCTTGACTATGGACACTGTGACCAGCACTTCTCATATCCATTGACATGGATTCTCTGCCATGATAGGCTGTCTCCTCAAATTGGGAGCCCAAACAAACCTGCTTAAACCCATTCTGTCAGGTGATCTGTTACAGCAATGGAAGTAACTACTGCAGAAAACTGGAGAACTGGAAAAGAGGATCCATGTGGTACTTAGGTCTTTGGGGCTGGTTTGTGGGATGAATGGGGAAGAGTTTGGAACTTGGGGCTAGAAAAGCCCTTGAGTGTTACAAATACAGCTTAATGTCCCATTCTGGTGTGATTTTAGAAAACCAGAATTTGAGAGAGATGCAGACAATGGAGGTATGGCCACGAGGTTTTAGAGAGAAGTAAGAAGTCTCTTGGGAACTGGGTTAGAGAACATTTGTTCTGTATTCTGGCAAAGAATCTGATGTTTTCTGCTCATGTCCTGAGAACTCAAGTGAGGTTGAACTCAAAAGTAATGGATAGCTTTGTCTGACAGATGAATTTTCAAGAGAGGGTTCTGTCCAGGCTGTGACATGGTGACTGCTCATCATTTTCCAGATCTATAGCGAGTGAGAGCATCAACTCCATTAGGAGGAGATGAAAATGGTCCACTTGGTGGGGAAATGAATGAGTGCAGAGTTTCAGACAAGAAGGCTGAAGAAGCAGTTATAATTGGGAAAGAGATTAGTAATATTAATGAAAACCTTTTAGTCTATGCTGGGAAGATAAGAAAGATGCCCTGAAAATGAGAAGACACCCACTAAAGCCTCTGTGTTGGGGAAATACAAATTCATCTGAAAGTAGATATTCTAAGCTGAGAATGCTACTGAAGAGGTTCCTTCAAACAATGCCTAGGCACAGAGGCCACTATGCAGTGGCTCTCAGCAGCAGCAGCCACGTAGGGATGCTCAATATTTTGGCTTCTCTGAGCCATATTGGATAAAGAAGCATTGTCTTCGGTTACATATTAAATACACAAATACTGAGGCTGGAGATGTGGTTCAACAGTTAAGAACACTTATTGCTTTTGCAGAGCATGTACACTCAGTTCCTAGTACCCACATGGTGGTTCACAACCATCCTTAGCTCCAGTTCCAGGGGATTGGACAGTCTCTTCTGACCCCTGTGGGTACCAGACATACACACAGTACACAGACATATACTCAGGCAAAAGATTCGTACACATAAACTAGTAAATCTAAAATCTAAAATTAAAAAATGACGCAAATACCAATGAAAGCAAATAAGCAAACAAAAGTCTCCAATATAATTTTATGACTTTAGCACCACAGTTAACAAATTTCTTATATAATCCTAATAATCACCATTAAAGTCATAAAGAAGGTCCTTAGTTTGCAGTCATTAATGTAGAAAACATATCTAAGTAATAAAACTCCACTGATTGAACATTTTTTAAAAATTGTAAAACTAAAAGAAAAGGGGGTAACAAGGCTATGATTGATGCTGTATCTCAGAAGCTAATCATTGGGTCTTTTCTATACCGCACTGCCAATGTAGTGCAAGGCAGAAGGTTGATAATCATTGAGGCACAGCCATGGTATGGGAGTAGCTTAAATAATCAAATGAAACCACTTACCTGTCTTCTAAATAGCATTCATAGGCCTGGGAAGATGACTCAGCACAGTACTTGTTGTGCAATCATGAGTATCTGAGTTCAGATCTTCAGTACCCACCTAAAACCCAGATGTAGCACATGCTTGTAATTGGGGATATGGAGATAGGAGGCTCCCTAGAGCTCATCTGCCAGCTAGTCTTGCCCAAGCAGTGAGTTCCAGGCTCAGTGAGAGCTCTTATCTATAAAAGCAAGGCGAGAGCAATAAATAGTCTAGGTCTTGACTAGATCTATGGCCTGTAATGCATGTTCACATAGACACGAACACACACACACACACACACACACAGAGATCACATCGCATTGTGAGAGTGTTAACTGTCAATCTGATAGAATCCTTGTTATCTGGGAAACAAGCCTTTGGCTCTGCCAGTGTGGAATTATCTTATTTCTGTTAGTTGTGGTGGAAAGACCCATTCTAAACTAGATGGCACAATTTTCTTGGTTTGGGGTCTCCACAATTTACTAATTGCCCCTGCTTCCTTAAATGTCAAGCAGAATGGTCCCTCCAGAAGGGTTTGGAAGCATCAGCAGCAGTTCAAGTGCTTTCCAGAGGCCCTGATGGCCCATGGTTCTGTGTCCTAGGGCATCTCTGGCAATGCAGATTGCTGAGTACAAAAGAGGCAGGTGTGGCCCCTCATCAGAAAGTGTTGAAGATGAGTTTCACCTTCCGAGATGTCTGAACATAGGAAAAAGGATTTGTGACATTTTAGAATTCCTCTTCTTTCCATCCCCATTTCTCCTTCCCCTTTCAACACTCCTCTTGGCCTTGGGGCTTGCCCAGGGCCTCTGCTTTGATTCTCAGGCTTCCCTTCTTGCTCGCTGATCTCTATCACATGTCCTCCAACAGACTATGCAGAGGGGTGACAGAGGCTAGAGGAGCCAGCCTAGAGGCGCAAAAGGTCTCCCTGAGGGCTTGTGCCACAGGGCCGTTCCAGGAACTGTCCGTGGTGCTGAAGTGACGCAGGCTCAGGCGCGGCAGGCAGAACCTGGCTGTGGGAGGCTGGCTCACCGGCTGCCAACTCAGCCCCAGTCACCTCACCAGCATTCGGTGGCACCTGGGGCTGTTATCAAGGAGAAGTGTCCCCCTAGTTGTTGCGCTGTTGCTGAAACCCTTCTTCGGTACACATTCCCTCTGCAAGGTTGTCCTGAGCAGGAGACGCAAGTGAATGGGGAAGGGGAGGTGAGGAAGACGTTTGGGAGGAGCAAATGGGTGTAAAGATATGGTGACTTGAATGATAATGTCCTCCATAAGCTCATATAATTGAGATCTTGGTTCTTAGTTGGTGGTGTCACTGGGGTGGGCTTTGAAGTTTCAGAAACTCATTCCATTTCCCAATTAGCACATTCTTCTCTGCCTCATGGTTGTCTCACCATATAAGCCCTCAGCTACTGCTTCAGTGCCTGCCAGCCTGCCTGCTGTCGCGCTGCCTGCCAGGATGGCCATAGACTCAGCCTCTGAAATTGCAAACGAGCCCACAAATGCATTCTCTTATAAATTGCCTTGGTCATGGGGTCTCTTTGCAGATACAGAAAAGTAGCTAAGGCAGAGGAGACAGGAGTGAAGCATGTGGAGCAAGCCAGAAGGTACCTGTGTCGAGGAGGTTCTGGTGAAGAAGAAGGTCTTGTGGATGTCGGAGCAGAAGGACATACCCAGACTATCTCAGGAACAGAGAAAAAAAATAGGTTTTGAGTGATTAGGATATATTAGGACCTGCCATGGTTTAAAGGAGATAAAACTGGCAGGAAGTTGGGATGAAGATTAAACCAAAGAGCACATCGTTGAGGGATTTACATTTGGAAAGTTGCATGGTAAGATAATTTAAATGGTAAGTGAGATATGAGAAAGCCAGAGTTGGCCAAGAGGCTTAAAAGCTTTAAAAGGGCTGGGTCCAGCAGTAGGACCAGGGTAGAGGGACAGGAGGCTAAAGCCAAAGGGCAGGAGCGCTCTGAACAGACAGTGGAGCTGTAGAAAGGAGACAGCGGTGGGAAGCAGCACTGTCCAGGCAGAGGAGCTGGCTCTGCTGCTGCAGTGGGAATCACAATCAGGGGTGGCTCACTTGAGGAAGCTTTTTCATGGTGTGTCATAGAAGGAACAAAGTTTTGTCACATGTTTGACACACAGTTATCTGAGGAATAGTCACTGCTATATTATCCTCCCTGGAGAGTCTATTTCCATCCACCAGGATTAGCAGAGGGAGGGAGGGAAGGAGGAGAAGCAGGAGCCAAGCAGAGTACAACACAATTCTCAAAGGACCTGGCCTAAGAGAAGGCGCTATGGGATCGATCGATCCTGCAAATCCTACAATCAGGAGTCAGCTTTTAGGCCATATCTAGCCTGAGTCTAGGCTAACCTGGCCATAGGAACTCTTTATAATCCTGGGGACAGGGCAAGGCTCTGGCCATGTCTGTGTCCCTGTGATCACAGGCCCTGTCCACATGAGACACAGACAAAAGAACACAAGAGATGATGTAGTTGAGGTGTGACCACATCAAAGCCCACAATGAACTAAGTATCGAGTGACCACAGCCTTGTTCACACTTGTCTTCCCAGTTTTTTTCCTGTCTTCTCTTGACACATATTCAACCTAGTAAACTCAGATTCTGGGAGGTTCCTAATGATGCCATTTTTTTTTGTCTCCCACTAGACTTTAGGAAGTTCAATGCTCCTCATTATTGAGGTAGAGCACAGTTCTAAACTGGTTTATCCTGTAGACCCTGCAGACATCAGAGGTAGTGGTCAGGACCCTGATCTGCAGTGCTTGTGTGCCCGGTTCCTTAGTTTGGAGTGTTGCTGAACATCGTGTTGATTGAGCACAAAGAGCAAGTGAAGGAGGCAGTTTTGAGAAACCTGGAAGGAACTTTCGGTGTAGGAGGAAAAGTATGTGTCCAGGTGTTGAGGTGAGTTGCTGCTCAGTTTAGTTTCCACAGCGGACAAGTCAGAATGTTCCTGCTTTTGGATTTTGCGATGAAAATGTTCCTCACAGGGTCAGATAACCTCACAGCAGAAACCTGGGATCCCAACCCGAGCCTGAGCTGTCATCCAGTTGAGAAAATGGATTCATCTTCTGTGATATTTCCACTCCTTAGTACTCCTCCTCCCAGGAGCTTAGGGGAAGATTGTTCTGCAAGAAGCTCCTGGTAAGACACAGAAGGTTAGTGTCCAGCACTCAGGGGCTCAAGATGCTGGAGAGGTACACTCTGGGAACTATTCTGCTCCAGACTTCTGTCGTCTTTCCTATAACTCTGTCAAGGTCATTAGAAGGACATTTAGTAGGTTACACTTAGATCTGATGGAAATCTTTTTGCCGAGTCGAGTGTGAGTTATCAGATTTGCCTTTCCGTGGAGCTGTTGCAAATAGGTGTGCTCTCCAAGATAACTTAGAATTACCTTCTCTTTTTTCTCTTTTTACCCATTGGCATTTTATTCACAGATCCACACGGAATGTTTTCTTGTGTACGTTATAACTTCTTCTCCCAAAGTGCTGCTTTTCTTTGTTGCTTTGACAAAATGAAGGAGAGGTCCATTTTGGCTCACAGTTTGAGGGGTACCGTCCATCGTGGTGGTGATGCAGGGCAAAATTCCTAGTGCCAGGAGTGTGTGGCTGGGGCACCTCACATCTGCACGGACCACAAAGCAGACAGAGATGAGTGCTTGAATTCAGTTGGCCTTTACAGTTTTTTTAAAGAGGCCCCAAATGTTCAAATTTTATTTATAAAGCTTCCTCTTGCTGTTGTACAGAGAGTAAAAATGTTGCTACAGTCACAGATGGCTATCCATGCCACAGCAAGAGTCTTATGTGAAAATATTTACAGTTTTTCTTTAGTTTTACTGAAAATAGAATCTTCTCTCGTACAGTACATCCTGACCTCAGTTTTCCTCCACTCCTCCCACATCCCCTTTACCTCCCCTCTCCTTTAGATCCACTCCCCGTCTCTTACCTCTCAGAAAGGAATAGGCTTCCAAGAGACAACTACCAAACATTACAAAACAAGGTACAACTGACCCTTTTCTTTCCCTTTTTAAATTCAGTCTGGGACTTAAGTATGGGGCTATCTACATTTCGGATAGGTCTTCCCTCCTCCGTTATTTCTCACTGGAACACTCTCAGTCCCACCCGAGTGTATCTCCTATGTGACTCTAAATCTGGTTAAACTGATTATGAAGATTAACTATCACTCAGGTGAGCCGCCACATCGCTCACTTGTGTCTATTACACCTTTGGGAGCCAGGATGCTGGGCATCACCAGGTGTTAGTGATGTCCCAAGCCTGTTATCCATAGGAGGTGGAGGCTGGAGGATTTGAAATTCAAACCCAAATCAGCACTTGTTTTAAGTATACTCCGGGAAATACAATGTTGGGTTTTGGCAAACTCCTCCTTACAGAGAAGTGCACAAAACTAGTTTTTCTGGTCCTCTGTCTTGGTGGGTATCATCTCAAGACTGGAACAGCTAATCCCTGCCAATCTGTTTTCCTGGTTTGAACTCAAAAGTTCTTTCAGAAAGTTAGGGATGTTGTGAACACTCCTTCATCTGACGGTGCCCATTTGGTTGGTAACTCCTATACTTACCTTTGCCCTCTCCCCATAAACTTACGCAGTTCATAATTCAACAAATCCAACTCCAAATGGTTCACAATGTCCTCCTGATGTGTGAATTCAGATGCCAGGCTCTGACCCAAGGATCACCTCCTGACTACCCACCACCAAGGAAGGAGCCCTTCTAATCCAATCCTGCCCCAGTTCAGCAGGAAGTAGACAAGTGGACAGCTTCATGACTCAGGTACTTGCTAATCTTTAGGATCTCACCATTTCTATAAAATAATACACACACACACACACACACACACACACCTGAAAATGTTAGGGAAGCCAAGTCCTTCAGGTTACCAGGCCATAAGCAGGAGGGCTACGTGAGGGCAAGAACACAGTCAGGCTCCTGCTCCCGCCCCTGCTCCTCAGGGATCAGAGGCGGTCTGCCTACTGTCATGCAACACGGCTCACACATATCGAGACCCTATTCCCTTCCTCAGAGTGCCCCAAGGATGCCCTATCCCCTACCGTGGTCATATAGCACAGGTCACGTTAACTGAACCTGCTTCCTCTCCACGCATGACCCTTCCCTTGTGTCTCAAGTCTTTAACAGTAGCACCTTGGTTTATCTGCTTTGTGGTAGTCAGAGTCCTGGCCATTGTTGCTGTTGTTAATAAAATTTGTTGACAAGGGTGATTTGACTCAGCTAACCTCGTTCGAACCTCCTCTCCTTTTCCACCCTAAAACCAAACAGTAACGTTTTGAGGAAGGGATGTTTACTCAATTTTGGGAATCATGTTTAGAAAAAAAGTATGAAAAGGATAAATACAACATCTTTTACAAAACTGAGTAATTAATTGATCATCAGAGCCTGGATGATGAAGGGGCCTAAGTCACTGAACTCACTGTTTTCAGGGTGACTCCACCTCAGGCTTCAATGAGAGTTGGAAGTTTCCAAGGTGTTCACCCAGTGAAACAGGAGGTGGCTGAGCAATGATTTCTGGGGCAAGATGGACGTCGTTCTCCAAGCCGAGTTTAAGAACCTATCCTTGACTCTGGGTCTCCACTGTCCTGTCTCAGGTGACAGGCACAACCTTCAGGGACTGTCCTCTTTCTTGGTACACTGATGTGTACCAAGGAGCCTCCACTTTGCTTGTACCTGAAGTAGCTGAGACACACTGACTTGACTCTCACGTAATTTTGCCCAGAGTGTGGGTAAGTGGACTTCGAGCAGGCAAGTGAAGAACTAGACACCCCAAGTCATCTGTCTCTATGCTTTAAATCTCTTTCTGGAGGCTTTATTTGAAATTACAGTCTGCATCAATGATACCTCAGTGCAGATAATGTTGAATTCACCAGGTCCTGATGATCTGGGTTATTGCTTTTGAATTCTAATGAAGACATTTTATACAAACACTTGAACACAGAGACAAGATCCTGGGGAATGCCCCAGAACCCCAACTTCAGCTACAGCGACCGGGCAGAAACCTCCCTCTTCATCCACAGCTCCACCCACACTTTTTGAAAAGAATTCAGAGTGGGTTATCAAACACACGGGTGTTTCTGACCTTCTTGTCTTTGTTTTCCTTATTTTCCTTTCCAGCACTAGCTTCCTTAAAGAGAAAGGGAGGTAACAGAGGGCGGCAGGGGCGGCAGAGGCGGCGGGGTGGGTGGGGCTTTAGCTACTCCAGTGTGGTTTTTACGACGATCCCTCCGGACTCCTAGACCTTCAGTGAAATAAAGATCAGCTGAGGGTTGGGAAGTGAGGGAAATGTTTCTCAGGACCCTGTTTTTCCGATCTGTGTTGGATTTCCAGCAAAGAGACCGCTAAGGACAGCATTCTTCCCACAACTCGCCCCTGCGGCTGAGTTCCTCTTGGAGGAGGAGGAGGAAGGCGGGGACAAGAAAACAGAATGGCTCTTGCCCCCTCTGCTGGCTGCCCGCTTGGATGGCAGGAAAGGCCCACAGCAGGGGTGCAGCCAGAAGACTGGTTCTGTCTTGTGGTTTTTTTCTTCAGGAAAATTTCCCCAGAGCAGACAGACAGACAATAGAAACACGGTGTGAGGAAGGGTCTCCTCAAAGTTTTATCTCCCATCTTATCTACAGGCCTGCAGTGGCCACAGTGGGCCAACACCTATGATGGTCAGCACAGCAGGACGGCAGGAGGATCGGCCCACTTTCCCACAGGAGCAGCATCTTGATGTTTCTGGTGCTCTGGACGACAGGCACCTGTGGCCCCACCATCCCTTTAATTGAGAAGTCAATGGCAGAGGATGTTGTCTCACTGTGGATGCAACTGCAGGATAGAAGAACACAGGCCTTTGTCACTGGCTGTAGCAACACATGACATGGACCATGTCATGACACTGAGCAGGGGCTGCTGGTGATTGTAGGAGCCAGCCATGATAAGTTAAATATGAACAGATCACCCAAAGGAAATTCTTTACTTCCAACCCATTATCACCTGCCAAAGTAGGACTCAACTGAAAGGCCCGAAAGTCTCAATAATTTACCCTGAAGCAATACCTGGTTGCAGGAAGAACCACAAACTGAGATTACCGGAGCACCACCAGAAAACAGACCATCCACAGGAAATGCCTAACATTCCAACCATTGTAGATAAGATCACCTGCCAGCAAACACCAGGATGCCCCTAGACAAATGTTAGCCAATCAGAGGTCCTGAACCTCAGAAACCACTCACCCCCACCTTTACTACTATAAAAACCCTACTCTAACTGAGCTTGGGGCTCTCCAGTTATTCCAATACGTTGGACATGTAGAGAGACTGAGTTCGCAAACTTGCATAAAATAAAGGCTCTTTGCTTTTACCTATGGGACACGGCTTCCTTGTTGGCTTTTGGGACTTCGTGGATTTGGTCATAGCAATGATCATGCCTTCTTCCCACTGCCCAGCCCTTGCTCACTCCTACTTCTCCCTTAGACGGGACGGAACAGGCTTCTAGTGGCTGCTGAACCCTTGATTTGCCTTTATCAGAGATACAGTCTCCTTTCCTGTGGGTTTATCAGACTTCAGAGCTGAGCAGGAGAGAGCTGCTGAAGGAGAAAGCGGTGTGGACAGAGCCTGGATGATCCTAGGCACTGTGGCTGACTGTCTCCCACCGGGATTGCAAAGATGGTATAGTCCACTATGGGATCACAGTGGGGACATCATGCCAGCCTTGTCACACAGCTCCCTGGGACTTAGAGACAAGAATTATTTCTTTCAATACGTGCTTTCTTTATAGTGGGGCATTTGAACAGGTTTCCTCTGTGGTCTATTCCCTGTAGGCGACTCCTCTGAATCAGTTCATTTTCAGACGATGAAAGACACAGAAAAGTCGACATGTTGGTTTGTGAACACAGAGGACCTGGAACTTTGCAATGTCACACTCCTGTACCCTCAGTTAAGTAGAAGGTGGCAGCTGATAACGGCCAAGGAAAAGCATCCTTGGAGGCTGGCACGTGCCTAGGACTCAGCTTGGAGTATAACCAGAGTAGCGGGTAGATGGACATAGGCATCTGGATCTCTCCCAGGACTGTAGGTGGACTGTTCATTCTAGTTCTCAGGTGTCCATGACTCCTGACATTTGAGGGCAGTCCCCACACCCTCATCCACTAAGACTCTAGGGTACGGTATATAGCTTCCTCCTGGTCTCTGCACCTACTGCTCCTCCTTCAGGCCACTCCAAGGTCAACAAGGAGTAGGGAAAGGAGGGCTCTGTGGACTCTGGCATTTCGTTCCCACATCCTTCCCTGTTAGTTGTCATCTGAGCATCCTGCCTCTTCTGCCGTCAGAGTCCTCATGATGGCAAAGCACACTCAGACTAAGAACCCACATTCCACCGTCTGAGCTGCAATGCCCAGGCTTCCTGTCTTTCCACACACTGCCACCGTGTGGATCCTGAGAGCATCACCTAGATTTCCTTACAAAATCATTGACTTGTCCAAACTTTCAATATTCAATATTGACAAATTGACACTCTTCAACTGTCTATAACCCTAGACCATACAGCAAAGCAGGTTTCAATGTGGTTAGAGTATAAATGCCACAGGGTCCACTCTGCTTACATTTTTTTAAATTGAGGAGAGATTTAATGAAATAGTCTAGCTACTGCAATGACCTACTATGAGACCTTAGGCCCTGCTCCATCTCCTCTACTTACCTATCAAGCAGCAGAGAGTACCAGGTGATCTCTTAGCACTCTATCCTGTGTTTCTTTCTATTATAGCCTGTACCTTTATATGTGTTAAGTGTCTACCTACTTCACAAAAACCTTCACTTTCATGGGTGGGGTATCTGTCAGTGGTTGAGTGCTTGCCTGGTCTTGGTGAGATCCTGGGTTCAATACCCAGCATTTTAAATGTAGTTAAGTCAACCTATAATAAAAAATATAGTATGTGAATCTGCAAAGGTGGGTCCGTGGGTGAGAGCTTTCTCTGTAAGCCTGAGGACTCAATTTGAATTCCCAGAATGCACATAAAAAGCTCAGCATGGTTGCGTGTGCCTGTAACCCTGCTGTTGGAATGAGGAGACAGGGGTCCTGGAGCTCATTGGCCGCTCAGCCCAGCCTACATGGCCAACTCCTGGTTCACTGAGTGACCCTGTCACAAGAGAGTAAGATAGAGACTAACAGAAGAGGATACTATTGTCCTTCTCGGGTATCTGCATGTGTGGTTGTACACACACAACTTTATAGTCACATGTGTGCAACACACACACACACAGTACCCGTGGAGGCCCCCCAAATATGAGCCTATTTCCATATTCACCAAAGGTCAGAGGGTTCCCTCAAGGTTATCGTGTTTGCTTCTACCTCAAACAAAGGTCCCACCTAAACGCTCTCTCAAGGTATTTTCAACGGGTGTGGCTAATGGCCAGACCTCGGACTTCAGAAAAAGAAAAGTAGATATGTTTCTACCTCAGACAAAAGTCTAAGCGTCCAACTGAGGGTCCAGTTTCTTTACGGAGATAACTTGGGATTCCACCCAGGGAGTGGTTTGCCTACAGAATGTTTTGGTCTAGGGTGTGAGTGAGACTTGTTTTGTTCTAGCAACAGAATGTTTAACTGAGGCCGTAGTTTGTGACCTTCAGTTGGTCAGTTCATTTCCTTGTACCTTGTTAATGCAGTATTTTGTCTTACTCCTACCTTTTGGGATCAGGGGGATTTTAAGCAGCGGGAAATCAAGTGCAGGCGAATTTCAGTACTCACTGGAATTCCCTTCCGATACTATTCTATGTTTCTCTGTTTTATTATTTTTATTCGTGTCTTCATATATTTTACTATATTTCTAAATCCCCACGCCTCTAACCCGGCAGAGGTATTTTTGTCGAGGCTAGTCCCCAACAAATATCGAGTTCAAAAGCAACTCAAGAAAATTCAATGTCATGAAAACATGAAGACTTATTTAAGAGATACTTTCTAGTGTCCATTTGCAATGAATTCTTTGTTTACAACATCAGCATTTTGTTGAGTTTAGGAATTAGCTTATCACATCTCAGCGTAGCAGTGACCTCTCCCTGGTGCCTCCTACAGATCCTGGAGGATACAGTTTCAACATTTCCCAGATCCTCTCTAGCTTGGTCTCTGGAGACACTCCTATCAACACTTTGGTGGGGAATTTTATGGGCTTCGCTTCTATTAAGAATAAACTGCAGTCAGGATGTATGAGGAAAGAAAAAATATGTAAGAAACAATATATATTATATATCCAGGTTGAGTTTCACACATCTGTAATCCCAGCATTTGGAAGGCTGGGGAGGAGAATTTTGAGTTTGAGGCCAGCCTGTAATACACAGCAAGATTATGTCCCATAAAACCAAAAAAAAATCAACAACACTGCTCACCCTCTGAAGCCCTTCTAAAACTCATAAATCAAATCAAATCAAACTAACCCCTAACAACCACAGAATTCGAGAAACCAAACCTATTTTGTGATTCTGACTTGGCTGGGTTAAATGGCAGCAGGGCACCACCAAAAGACTTTGATAGTTCAACGCCTGCTCAGACAGATGACTTCATCAGACATTTCCAGCATCTCATTGTAGATCTATGGTTTGTGCCTCTATCACACTCTGGAAGATAGCACATGATCTACACACAAGAGTTTAAAATACGTGTACAGAATTTTCCACGTCTTGATTTCTAGTCTCAGGTCAGGCTGAGCTTGTCTGATGCTTACAACATTGTGGAAATATCAGAGGATTAGCAACACACTTGGAAATGTCTCTGCACATTCCGGCTGCTCCATCTGTGGGGTTTTGTAGCCCATGGATGTGGATTTCTTTGGAAACAAGGATCTATCTGTCTCAGCCTGAGTAGCTGTGGATGATGTCATCTTAGAGTTGGGCAGTAACTTCTGGGAGTGAATGTTAATGAGACAAGGCACCTGAGAACCAAAAGACAGGTCAATCTGAAGACAAGAGAACACGGAGCAGGCAGGGCCAATGTTCAGTGCAAGATGTGCAGCCTGCTGAGGCAGGGGCCAGGTCTGTCTGAACACTGATAGAAGAATTGCTTTTTTTTTTTTTTGACACGGCTACACATGCTTAGAAATGCAGAGAGCAGTGACTGGAGAGATGATGCAGGGATTAAGAGCACTGACTGCTCTTCCAGAGGTCCTGAGTTCAATTCCCAGCAACCCCATGGGGACTCACAACCATCTATAATAGGATCCGAAGCCCTCTTCCGGCCTGCAGGTACACATGCAGACCACTTATACTTAAAGTATAAATAAATAAAGCAAAACGATGCAGAACTCAAGGGTTTAGATGCAGATTCTCTGGTCACTGAACACATCCAGGTGAGCAAAACACTCAAGGTGTGCCCTTAACCTACAAATGAGGTCCCCCTGCCCCTCCACTCTGAGATGGTCCTCACTGAAAATGAATAAGCTGTTCCAGAGCTGGAACAGGAGGCTGCACAAGAGAAGACATTCCAGAAGAAACCAAGGAAAGACAAACTTACGGCATGGGAACAAATGCAACATAAAATATGCAAATAAAAGAGGCCTGTTGGTCACCTTCCTTTGTAAGCATTGTAAGAGTTCTCATGGGATAGAGCAAATGAAACTAGATAGTAAAGTTAGAAATAGTTTTTAAAATGAACTGGAAAAAAAAAAAAACCAACCCAGTCACTCTCACCCCTGATATCACCCCTTTCTCAGTTTGTCTGGAATTCTTTTAGTTTGTCCCCGAGCAGACTTAGGCAAGTGTGCATCATCTAATATTGTGCAATAGCACCCTGGTCTGAAGAGACACAGCATGTTAGACTGTCGTGGGCCTACTGATGAGCTTTTGGGCTGTTTTCCAATGTTAGAAAACATGGGATCATTTTCTCTGTGTTCTTGTGGGTTGACCAAACACTTTTTTTTTTTAAATTCCACTTCATAGTGTTTTCTACTGTATCTCTTTCTGTAGCTTCTTTAGGCACTCTTAAAGTGCTAAAACCGTATTTCATAAAATAAATATAATGATAAAAGTACAAAAAGAAAAGAAAATATAACTGTAAATGCCATAACTTTATTCAATATATATAAATTTCATATATCTGTAATTCCCTCCCATTTATCCACTGTCCGTTCTTCTTACAGGTCTTGGTTCTTCATGCCTGGAGACGTCCATCTGGTGAGATCTACAGGTTCCCATTTTTAAGCATTTCCTTGTTCAGAGTCTAAACAGAAGAGTAGAAACACCAAGGGAAGTCAAGAACCTACTAAAGGAACTAATTTTAACATTCAATTATAAATCTTTTTTTAAATTTTTTTTTCAATTATAAATCTTTAAATTTAATTATATTTAACAAGGAAACTGTTCTCAGATTTTCTTCAAAGTTTGAAGAGAGAGCCAAAAGTGCCACAGAAAATGATTCTGCCAATCAGCCTAAAGGAATGTCTTTTATATGTGTCCTCTCAGGTTGTGCCATGTGGCTAATCACAGGGACACTGGCTTAACCAGTGTACAATTAAAAATGTCTTAAAAATGTTGGTGGCCACCGGGTGTAGAATGCAAACATTAGTTGATTTAATTTTTGTGCCTTACAAGTTCTTTTATATATTTTTTAATTTGAAAAATTATGTGTATTTTGATCAATTATTTCCCCTCCTTCACCTCCTCCCAGATCTTCCCCACCTTCTCCCTACCCAACTTCATGTTCTGTCTCTCTCCTTCTCTCTCTCTCAAATAAATCTCTCAAATTCTTAAATTAAGCTAACAATAAGTCACCACCAGATATCAGTAACTATATTTCACTAGCATATTTCTATTAAAAAATTCTACAGTGTGTCTGATACAGTCCAATTCATTGATGACAAACCCAGAATTTACATAATACAAAATGTTATACTAAAAAACCACCCTAGTATGGAGAACTAAAGCAGGTGCTCGTTTATTTTCTTTAAATTGTCATTCAATTCGATTGTTTCTACCATACCAGTGTTGAAAGGGGCACTGTATTCTTCAATGGAGAATTCATCTGGAACACAGAAATGATTAGGCAGAAAGCGGTTAATTATGAGTAAGCCCTGTCGGCAAAGAACGAAAGTTTAAATCACAGCTACAGAATCAATGGAAATAAAGTCTACACTAAGTTATTTTGTTTGGTGGTGGAGACTAAGAGAACCAGGCTCTGGAACAGAACTGAGGGCTTGCTGTGCCTCTGCACCCACCAGACTCAGATGGTCCCTTCCCACGCCTGGGATTTTCCTGCTGGCATTGTGCCTTCTTCTCTGCGTCTTTCCTCCACTTAACGAGGAGACATCGTTTCATACTGCCAACATGATATAACGCTGGCAAGTTTCAAGTTCAAAGTCAGGAAGAAACAGAAGAATTTCTTGTTCTATCCAGTCTCCTCCCATTTTGGAGGTTTATCTACAGCACTTTGAAAAGTAGATCAAATGATAGGTTCTGTATCACACATCAGTAGCAAGATGCAATTTAAAAAAAAAAATTATTGCTACTCTTACCTTCCCAGAATAATCCAGCCTAAAGCAAGCAACTTTAGAGGGAAATTTAAGTAGAACCCACGACCAATTGTTTCATGATGTCTTTCACCAGAGGGACCCTAAGGCTTATTTAAGTGCACACAAAAGGGTAATACACAGAAACATAACTGTAAGTGACCATAAAAACTCACTTTTTCTTCCAGTGAAAGACTGTGGAATTTCATTTTATTTAAGATAACCTCTAATAAGGCTAGACTCTATTTCCTATCAAAGCTCAGCATATCTGGATTCCACTTACCTGTCTCATAATAATCATAGACTTTTACCGGAGCTGGTTTTAAGTTCTTTACTGGAATGTCTTGTTCCACCAAGAAGGAGAAACTCAGGCTTTGACTGGTTAGCTGGAAAGACGAGAGAACAGAAGTGGACTCAATGATTAACTCAGTTGTCAGTCGCCATCTTGTTTTATTAAGATATACTAAGCTGTAGGAGTGTGCTATCTCCTCTCTCACAGCCCAGAAGAGAATGGGACTTTTTGATCTCTATAACATAACTAATAAAAATGAAAGAACAAAGTTCTGCGGATGGTTAAAAGTGTCATTAACAGCTTTGCTGGTGTGTGTGTGTGTGTGTGTGTGTGTGTGTGTGTGAGAGAGAGAGAGAGAGAGAGAGAGAGAGAGAGAGAGAGAGAGAGAGAGAGAGAAGTGGTGGAGACTGACTCTTTGGAATCTTGTTGGTCTGGTTTAGACACTCCAGCAATTCTTACAGACCCAGAGTCACAACTCTTACCTTTTCAATGTAGACTAGAACATGGTTGGTGGTCACGTCAGTCCTCTGGATGTCAGGCTGGTTTTGGAGCTGTTGATAAGCCAGAAATACGGAGTGAGGAAGGTTTATGCTAGGGACAGTTTTCAGGTATTTTTCACATACGAGGCTTCTCTGGAGAATCCAAACTACTAATTTTTTTTTTATTTCTTTGGGAATACTAGTCATAATGCTAATATTTACTGAATCCTTTCTAGTCATACATATGTATATAGGTACATATGTATGAATATTTATCACATATACATATATGTGATAAATATACATACTAGGAATGCATAAGGAGATACATACATATGTATGTGTGTGTATATACATGGTGTGTCCACAAATCTGATAACTAATGGTTTGCTAGAATTGGATATAGGCTAGAACTTGGTGTAATGGTCTGTCCTGTCCCTTTAAGAGACAAGCCCTGCCCACTCCTCTCCCCCCCCTTCTACATAGGCAAGCAGATCTTCCTTCTGCTTCCAGGCTGTGCTCTCTCTGCCCTATCTGCAGAGGTGGCTGTTGTGGTCCTCTCCTCTTCTCTCCCCGCCTCTCTCTCTCTCTCTCTCTCTCCCCTCCCCTTTCCCTTTCTCCCCATAACCCATTGAATAACTTATACCCAAACCCTCTCTCTGCATGGTGTGACTATCCCTCTCTGTCTCTCACCCGCCACCTCCTTGTGGGACTCGCTGCCCTGCCAATGACCACCTCCCACAGGTCTCTCAGCTGCTGCCTTCCACCTGTCTGGGACTTACAGAGGCCTGGGGTGGTGGGACCTGGCTGCCTCTCGTGGTTTGCTGCCCGCTGCCACCCCTCGGTGGCATTAGGTTTAGATAAAACTTAGGCCTCATGCACAACAGACTGTAACCAGTATAAGCAATAATAAAAGAAGGAATCACCCTCTGGAGAGGCAAGTTTGCAGGAGTAAGCCTTTTGAAAACTGCATCAGTAAAATCAGACAGACAAACAGTATGGCATTGCCACCTGCAAGAGTTAGTGTTAACCCTTTCCACCTATGGCTTAGTGTTCAGCCTTTTTCTTTCTTTTTTAAATTCACTTTGCACACCAACCACAAGTTCCTCCTCCCACATGCCCCCATTTCTCAGAAAAGGTAAGGTCTCCTCCCATGGGGAGTCAACAAAGCCTGGCATATTAAGTTGAGGCAGGACCAAGCCCCTCCTGCATTTAGCCTTTTCTACTGATGGTGTAGGGTTTACCTTTTTCACAGTTGACTTCACAGGTATGAAGCCTGATACCATTTTCACGTCAACAATGACCATGTTGGAGCTGGATCGTTCTCCAGTGTAACTGTGAAGGTAATGCACAGAGTTAAGTCCTTTCGACAAGGTTCCTCGGGATGGATTGACCCAGAAGTCTAATCTTTTTTGTCACTCATTTTCTCTATCAACCGTATCTGTGCAGTTATTTGAAATCTCACCATTTTCCTTTCCTCTCTTCAGAGAGATGAGGTGTGTGTATATGTATGTGTATATTCCTGAGATATAGTCTCAACGCTAAGGCCTTTCAGTAAGAGTTAAGAAAATGTCCTGGTTCACGAATACAAGACCCCATTTTTGTTAAGATTAGCTTTGCATAATGTATTTCTTCCACAGGCATTAACCCATTTTTTCCATGTCTTATAAGCAGACTGGTTGCTACTTAGGTTTTACCTTACGTTGATGTGAATTTGGAATGTTCTGTGATTTTCATCAACGTTTATGGGGAGAGTTTGAACCTGCAGAGTGAAGGGCGCTCTTCCTTCTGTCTTTGGAAGGATGTTGTATTTTAGCGATGTCTGAAAACAACAAGAACAAAATTCCTTATCTCAGTGCTGAAAACATCTCACAGCCTCTTCGAAGTTTCTAAGTTAACTCGACTCTTTTTTTTTTTTTTTGTTGTTGTTTATTTGTTTTTCGAGACAGTTTTTCTCTGTAGCTTTGGAGCCTGTCCTGGAACCAGATCTTGTAGAACAGGCTGGACTCAGAGATCTGCCCGCCTCTGCCTCCCGAGTGCTGGGATTAAAGGCATGCACCACCACTGCCTGGCTAAATAACTCAACTCTTGACTTAGCACAGATTTCTCCTTTTGATTTTGCAGTGATCATATAACCCTTGACACTTTCTCTTCCATGTGCCCAGTATCTGGGCCCTGGAGGTCTCACCTGGAGGTACGCACATCCAGACCCTGACACTGTGGTGACGTAATTTCCAGGAAGATCTGGCAGTCTGACTTCCTGCAGCAGCAGGCGGTTGGCATTGTGAACAGGGAACTTCTGAGAGAATGTCCCTGAAGACTTGATGGTGACCAACACTTCTTTCTTACTTTTTGTAAAAGTGGCTGCTCCATATTTGGAGAGGGCTTGGAGGGCCACCACCGTATCCTGAGAAAAGGAAAGATACAGAAATCGCAGTGGATGGAGAGATAGCACTCCACACTGGATGCATAGTGTCAACCCTGCTTCCTTTCAGGATTATTTAGTCAAAAAACACAGTTAATCACTGCAATTTCAATACCATTCCATCCTGCTTACTAATGGTGACCCAGTCTAGGTATTTCAGAGAGAAGTTTTATCACCTACACAGATTACAATATATACAGAAATCTGAACTGAACACATATCATTAGTAATTTGTAAGTCTCTCTAGCAGTATTTCTTGTAGAAATCTGAAATGAAGAAGAAAATGTAGGCTAAGATAGAAAAAGAAGACTGAAGATGAGAAATGAGATAATTCTTGAATAATGAAAAGTATTTATGGAGAGGGTGATGGGCATCAGGGAAGAGCTGTGATGTTTTAAACGGCCCCAGCAATGGCAGCAAGTCCATTCCGCCTAAGGACTTGCCTAACTCGCTACACGAGTACACATTTATTGTGGAGAGGAAGTGGCTTAGGCAGAATATTAGAGAATTTTAGTCTGTGGATGAACATAAAGTTAATTTTCTCATGGAAGTAATTCTACAGAAATAGTGCTTTGGGAAACTGGCCCCTGGGGATGCTGAGGACCCGCTTTGGGGAGAAGACAATGAGAAGGTAAGGCGGACAGAGCAGTGATCCATATGTGAATCAGGCTGGGACTTGGTGATGGAGGGACGATGTTTCAGCTACTTAATCCCTATAACATGTTTGCGTTTATATATGGATTAGTTGATTTATCTTTCCTTCCTAGGGTCTCTCCACAGACCTGAGTGGAGGAGAAGCCTCCGTGGGAGTTTTGCTGCCTGATGATCCACTTCACAATTTGGGATGCGGAAGACAGGTCCTCTGAAGAACGGGACGGCAGAGCCGTAAGGTAGGCGAGAAGTACATAAGCTGTCATTTCCACTTCAGCAGAAGGGGCCCGTGGTTGATAGAAGAGTGTCTTTGCTTCCTGAACGTTCCCGGGACGTCGCCAGTGGATTGAATCCTCTTTCAAATGGGAAGAATAAGATTTTAAGTTTAAAACATGGTTGTAAGATCTATCCCATGAGTGATGATGAGTTCAGCCAATGAACTGGCACCGATGAAACGAGTAGACGCTTTAGAACAGTCTATATCAAGTACATCAAACACATAATTTGTTTTTTTGGAGACAGATACTCATTATCTAGACCAGGCTGGCGTCAAACTCGAACTCAGAGATCCCCCTGTCTCTGCCTCCCAAGTTCTGGATTTAAAGGCGTGAGCCACCCTGCCTGGTAACAAGCAGATCTTGACCAAACTCCCAGATAATCACTTGGGGAGTCTTTGTGTCTCTTACATACTTGTGTGGCACCAGCAGTTGGATTATATAAAATCAGTAATGCGTGTGTCAATAAAATGGTTCACATCACTTAAGTGTTTGGTCAATGACAGTTCTCTTGCTGTCTTTCTGGTTAAGGTGGCACGAGAGTGACTCTGCCTTTGCCCCGTTGGTGACTTCTGGTTAGACAGACTTTGCAATAGAAGCACCTACCTTCTTTCACAGCCTCTCTGTTTAGTGATTCAAGCAGCTCGCTTCGCTTGGCTTGGTTTCCTGCCAGGGCAAAGGCATAGGCCAACAATGCCTTAGTGTAGACATGACTTCCTTGGCTCCCTGAGATGGAGGCCCAGGCTGTTTCCAGGCAAAAGAGAGCATTGCGGACAATACTGTGCTATAAAAGAAGATGAGGGCCAATTTCAAAATAGCAGAACGAGGCTAAGGAACTATGCCCAGGCTGACCCCAGGTTGAGAGTCATGCTGCAACACCCCAGCAGTAGAGTTTGTATCGGGGAGTGGTTTCCTTGAATCTGTTAAAAAGGTGCCAGGGAACTGTATCAAAATCAAAGACCACAGACACTGGAGGGATCCTCAGGGGATCGTAGTTGCGTCTGTGAGGGAGGTGCAGGGATGGTGTACACGTACATCGGTAGACAGTGGAATCTCCAGCAGGGCGATGGTGATGTAGGCAGAGAGCGTCACCTCGTCACTCACGCCACCCTGGAAGGACAGAGCGAGAACTCTCACACTTCGGCATTTGCTGAACATTGGACCCTCCATGTTATGTCATTAGGACTGGAGAACTCTATTTTAAGTTTTTTTTTTTATTTTTTAGAAGAAAAAGCTATTTTTTTAAAAAAATCGTGTATATTTGTGTATTTATGTGTCCGTTTGTGCATGAGTGAAGTACCCACAGAGGCCAGAAGAGGGCATCGGGTCATCTGGAGCTGGAGTTATGGGTGTTTGTGAACTGCTTGAGGAGGATGCTGGGAATCAAACTGGTCCTCTGCAATAGCACCAAATGCTCTTAACCACCGAGTCATCTCTCCAGCCCCAAGGACTGGAGAACTCTTAGAGAAGCCTTCTTCCCTACCCATCACAGTGCTCAGTCCAGAGGACCAGGGCACCACCTCCTCCCTACACATCACAGCGTTCAGTCCAGAGGACCAGGGCACCACCTCCTCCCTACACATCACAGCACTCAGTCCAGAGGATCAGGGCATCACCTTCATTGCGTTGTTGAGCAGGTGTCCAGACTGCTGGAAGCAACCATTTTCTTTCTGCTTCCCTGAGAGCCAGTTGAGAGCTTTCGTGATGTGCGTCTTCTCTATAAAGATGTGAGACTGTGCTTGGGCCAAGGCCTTGAGCACGAATGCAGTGAGCCTGCAGGCAGAAAAGGGGCCGAGAGCAGGGCCACCTCACTTTACAGTTCGCCATGTGCTTTCTGCAGACCCTGATCTTCACAGTTTAGGGGAGGCCGTTTTGGAGGGTCTTAGTTGATAGTTTTCAATCTTTCGGTCTTACGAAATTTATCTCTTTTTGAACTGTCATAGCACCCTCCCATCAAAACTGCATTTCCCAGATGAGTTCCAGTTGTACCGCTCTGCATCTCTGTCCCTGCTCTCCACCTTGCCTCTTCTAAAGGACAGCGAGGAAGTTTCCACGGCGGACGACTGTACTTCCGACCTTACACCTTTATTTCTTTGCTTTGCTTTTACCAGCAGTGCCGGCAGGGCAGGTGGGGTTGCCAAGGTCAGGAGGGATGACATTTGGAGTTTTAAGAATAAGTAACCCTTCCAGAAAAGAATCCCAGGTACAGAGAATAGCAGTTTCTAGACTCCTGAAATGCCTTGGATCAGGAGAGCATGAAGACACAGTTAATTTCATCTTACCAGGTATTTCCCAGGCTGTTCCCACCACGGTCCCCAAATGTGCTGAATGAACCGTCGCTGTGCTGATAGTTCAGCTGCCGCTGATACCCTGGAGAGGGAATTCAGTCGTTTATGAGGCAGAGCGACACTAGACAGTTACTATTCTTCACCTATCTTAACCCTATCAAAGAACATGTTTCCAAAGGTATCAACAGTATTGGGAGTCATTATTCTCGAGAGGGGCATTTGATTGGAAATCACAGCAACAGTGATGACCGAATCTGAACCAAACAGCAGGCATTAAGGAGTGCAGGTAAAATTGCTCACCGCTGACGAGGTAGCCGATGGCTTTGGACTTGATTGTCTCCGACAGCTGCTGTGTCTCATTCAGATAGTTTAGGACATAGATGTTAGGAACAAAAAGGACCATATTTTGCTCTCCACAGCCGTAGGGCATCTGGAGAAGATTTTGGAGGTTTTGCATTGCAGAGCCTAGTATATCGCCTGAGGAGTAAAAGGTTATTACAAATTAGAGAAAAATGGAGATGGTTTGTGCTGCAATAAGATAATATAACCAAGAGGCCATGTTACTAATGGAATGAAAGACAAAAAGAAATTATACAAAAAACGAGAAAAGCAGAGAGCAGGGAAGAAACTGAATGGCAAGAGATAACATCTTTTCTGGTGGGCCATGATGTCTGGGAAAATGGAATTACTGTTTTCATATATGTTAGGCACACTGTCACCCAGTTGATCATTGAAGATGAGGACACAGCCCTTATTAGCTGTCAGAGCTAACCAAAGCATACTGTGTAGAGGAGCAGCTGTCAAACCCACTTCCTCGCTCTCACACAGTCGCCCTGAGCTTGCGACTCCTTCCTCAGGTCAACGTCTGGAGCCCGTCATGCATGGCGAGGCCCCGTGTGTGCTGGGCTCACACAGAGAGACAGCTGTTGTGGCCGGAGCCGAGAGACTTACCCAGAACGGAGTGCGTAGCCCTGGCAGATCCTTCAACCACATTGGGTGGAAGGGTCAGTGACCACTGGTTAAGTAATTCAGTATCTAAGCAAAGAAGACAAACGAGGTATTAGACAGTAATAGTGCACGTGGGGAGGGGGTGAAAGAAACGCTCTGTGTTGTCATGAGCATTTTTCCTCAGCATTATCTAGATGCAATCTTTTTGTTTCTCTTGAACCTTAGGCGATTTCTTGATGCAATTCAGTTTCTCCCAAAGTCAACATTTGTTTCACAACAAAGTTCATATGGCTTATATATTTGTATTAAATGTCTATAGCTTTCCTTATATACAAAGGTTCCCTTCTTTCCCTTTATGGATTGTATTAATTCTCTCTCTCTCTCTCTCTCTCTCTCTCTCTCTCTCTCTGTGTGTCTGTGTACATGCACCCATGAGCCAGAGTCTCTCACTGAATCTAGAACTCGCTGTTTCAGCCAGACTGGCTGTCCTGTGTTCCTCTAGGGTCCTCCTGCCCCTGTTCCTCAGTCCCCTGGCGTTGACCGGGATTACAAGAGTAACTACAGGTGGTCTTACTGTCCTGCTCAGCTGTTACGTGCGGGCTGGGGATCCAGATTCAGGTCCTCAGGTTGGCACAGCAAGCGCTTTACCTACTGAGCCGCAATTCCTGTCAATGTTAGTAATGTTTTCACACAGGCATCTCTCTCACGAATATGCACTAAATGTGTGGCATGTGCTGGGTTCTGTCTTACATGGTGACTTTCAAAACTCATTTCCTGACTTTTTAGAGCTTTTGCTTTTACGAGAAGGGTTAGGTAAACAAGTGAAGATGTGTTTAGTGAGACTGACATTGGTGGGTCCTGGAGAAAGTTAGAAGAGGCTGTTTATGGGCTGAACTAGTCAAGTGAGGGCACTCGGGAAGTGGAGGGTTGGGGAGGTGGGTGACTCGCTATGGAAAGACTCCTTGATAAGGTCATTGTGTTCAGAGCCCATCAGTAAGTCACGGAGTAAGATATGTCCAGGAAAAATGAACCAAAAGGAAAAAGACGTTAGAGCCCAAAGTGTGATAAACTGTCCCAAGAGGAAGGAGAAGGCTGGTGTGGCCAGTTCGCAGCGAGTGAGAGACAGAGCATCAGGCCATGATGTTTAACGGTAGGGAGGGCTTGAGGGTGATGGTGAGGGTTTTGGCACCGTGGGTTGTAGGAAAGGTGTGGCAGAGGAAGGACACATTCTGACCGATTTGACATATGTTCTTGAAGGGAACCACCTTGCTGTATAGGGACAAGAGGGGATTGTCAGGAGGTCAGCTAGGAAAATGTTAACTTTACTTTTTTTTGAGACCCGGTCTACTGTCTCACCTCGGTTGGCCTCAAACTTGTGATGTTCCTGTGTCATTTCCTTAATGGCTAGGGTTTCGAGCTTGTGCCACCACATGCAGCCCAGTTAGGTTGTCATTGAAATAGGCCAGCCAGAGAGAAGGGCTACCGTAGAAGGAGATGTGGCGAGAAGTGGGTAAATTCTGATATAACTCGAAAGTGGAGTCAATTACATTTGTGAATGGATTGGGGTGGAGAAGAAGAGAAATAACATGATAAAAGCAGATGTGTTTATTTTTATACCTGTCATGTAGAAGGATGAAATTATCACACTGTGAGATGAAGGGAGTTGGGAGGAGCACATAGTGGGGCCAATAGTGCTTCCCTTTGCCGGCAGGGTGGTTCTGAGGTACCTGTTAGACCTACAGTCCTGTAAGCACGGATGATGGCTGAACACAGGAATTCAGGAAGCAGATCTGCACCAATGAAGCATGTAAATCCGTGGACTCTGTCACTCAGTTGTTATTAAAGCTATGTGCCTAGGTCTGGGGAGGTGACTTAGTCAGTAAAGTGTTTGCCTTGCAAGTGTGAGGACCTGAGTTCGATACCCAGAACCTGTGTGAGGAGGAAATGCCAGACGTGGTGGTGTGTATTGTAATCTCAGTTCTGGGGAGGTAGAGACAGGGAGATCCCTTGGGTTTGCTGGCCAGCTGGCTCACTTTCCTGGGTTAGTGAGGGGCCTTGACTCGCAAAAACAAGGCACCCGAGGTACAATGCTTACGATTGACCTTTGTCCCTCATATGCATGCACATATATACACCCTCCACAGGAACATGAACGCACACACACACACTGTATGTAGATGAGACTACCAAGGATATTTCCATGAATGGTCTCTAACTCATGATGGTTCCAGTCACTAGAGTGTGAAAATGAGGCACAGTCAGTGGAAACCATAAGCTCCTAGAATTCTGAGCATCACCCTTTCCCTGGACCACTGATGTGGAATGCAGCACTCTCTGGTGATGCAGGCAGGCACAGCTGTCCTCCGCTTCAACTGAGCCAGCATGGGAAGGAATAGGAGAGCGAACAATTGTGTTGCTAATCTATGAGAGTCCATAGGTTAGGTATATTAAATGGATTTTTGACTCATTATTTTCAATTCATGATGGACTTAATAGGTTGCAACCCCTTTGTAAGTTAAGTTGAAGGGCATCTCTATAAGGAATGAGGTTTGTAAGTAAAGCCTCACCTTGAGGAACATTCTAGGTGGCATACAACTTTTTAGATGGAGATCTTTATATGGTCATACTAGCAGTATCAATCAAATACTGTTTGGGGGTCTATACTGGGACACTAGAGATACTGTCAATCAAAGCATACGTATGGAAGTATTTAAATTACTAATGTAACAGTACAACCAAGCAAGGACACACAGTTCCTTCAATAGCCTCAACATAGTTTGAGGAGGAGTTTTACAGACACAGATGGCTTAGAAAGAATCTTGTCCCAGGTCAAAGCTTTTAGTTCTTGTCACTAACTAGGAGCTTTCCAGCAACTTTTTCACCTGCCTTTTTTTATCCTTAAAATATAGTAATAATGATAACAATATGATAATATCATCAATAGTGTTTATCCTTTATTCCCCTGGGAAAATTGAGCATATTTTGAGAGATTTTCATCAAAAAAGGGCTTCTCTTCATGAGATATCTTTAGGTTTTCATGGAAAGAGCATACAAGTTTTTATTTGTTTTTTTCTTCAGAGTAAGCTGTATCCCAGAGATGATTTTCCCACAGCTATAAATTGCTTACTTTGAGAATTGTGTGTTTTGTTACACTTACCTGATGCACACAATAGTGTGTTGAATGTTTGCTCCTTCTCGATTCCTTCAGGCTTAGAGTTGAGAAAAAAAAAAGGTAAAATGATACATAACATACAAAACCAAACCAAACCAACCAAACCAAACCAAACAAAACCCCAAACTAAGCACTTTGAAGTACACTGAGCTATAGACCCATGCACAATCTTGGAAGTGAGATACAGTCACCCAGATTACAAACACAATGTCTTACGACAGACTCAGTACTCACACACCTCGACTATTAAGGGCTTGACTACAGTGTCCTTCCGTATGAGGGCTGGCACTTTTGCCACCTCATTGCCACACAGTTCTGCAGACTGCAAAGCTTCTGCGGTGGCTGTGAAGTTCACCTCCCCTGGGAGAGAAAATTTTGATGGCTTTAAATGGTAATACTTGGGCCAGTGAGATGACCCAGCAGTTGAAGAAGCTTGTTGACAAGCCTGACACCCCAGATTTGATCCCTGGGACCCACATGCTAGAAACAGAACTGATGTGGGAGAATTGTCTGTATTCTGTCAATCATATTTTAATAAAACGCTGATTGGCCAGGCAGGCAGTATAGACGGGAAAACCAGACAGGAAGTAGAGGTGATGCAAGGAGAACAGGAGAATTCTGGGAAGCAGAGAGGTTCCTCAGCCACTCCTGCACAGACCACCGAAGAGGCTGCATGTAACTTGCCCAGCTGAGAAAGGTACGGAGCCATTATGGCTAACATAGATGAGAATAATGGGTTAATATAAGTTATAAGAGTTAACAAGAAGCCTGACCTAATGAGCCAATCAGTTTATAATCTTATGGAGTCTTGTGTGTGATTTTCCTTGGGACTTGCTGGCTTATTGGGGTACTGGGCCGGACAGAAACCCCAACAAGCCGGCCCCTCATGTGACAGATGGCGCCCAACGTGGATAACTGAATCCACAGAAAGCTTGAGAAAGCTTGGGAAAGAATAGAGTAAATCATGGTTTCTTGGTAGCAGTAATTTCTCGGGTCTGCTCTGCTTGCTAGAGGCAAGCAAGTGCTCTCATCTAAGAGAGGCTTCCTGACTCAGCTTTAGGTGCAAAACCCTGCAGCTCTTTTAAAAGGTCCTGCCACTAAACACTTAAACGGTGTTGATGTAAAGCTGAATGCATGCTTTTCGGGTTTTCAGCCGTAACAGGAAAAAAGCTGCGCTGTTTTAAAATACAGGCTTTCTGGGCTGTCCTGCCAGGGCAATCTCTGACTCTTTCAGGCAGGCAGTCCGACTGAATGTGGTCTGTGAGCAGAATACTATGGCTTGCTTGCTAGTAAGGACCTTGAAACGCCATAGAGTTGTGACAGTGAACACAGCTCTGGCTGGTATCTCAGCCATGAGGCTGAAAAGTTAAAAAATGAGCTGGTTCTAGCCGTCAAAGCCACGACTCTCCATATTGCTTAGTAAATTAAAGGCTCATGTAGTCAGAAAAAGAGAGATATACAGTAAAGAGAGATTCAAAGAGGAAGAAAACCTCTAAATGGTTTACCGTGTGTTAAAAATATATGCAAGCTAAAGGTTAAAGTCATTAAAAAGAAAAAAGAAAAAAAGGAAATAATTAGGTGTGGTGGTACACACCTTTAATCCCAATGCCTGGGAGGCAGAGGTATGTTGACCTCTGTGACTTCAAGGGGCAGAGGTAGATTGACCTCTGTGACCTCAAGGTGTGGTAGCACACGCCTTTAATCCCAGCACTGGGGAGGTAGAGACAGGCAGATTTCTGTGAGGTCAAGGACAGCCTGGTCTACAGAGTTATTCCAGGGCAAAGATATACAGAGAACCTGTCTCAAAAACTAAAAGTAAAAATAAAAGAAATAGAGGTTAAAGTAAAGCCACATAAAGATGAAAAATACAAAGAGAATCTTGATACTGTATGCTATTATGCTCTCTTTGAATTGTTTGATTGTTGAGGAAGGAGCAACAGCTGCTAAAGGACTGTTGTTTATAAATGCTGCTGAACTAACCCAAGATAGGTATTTTGAAAATACCTTGGCTTCCGAGGTGCCCCTCAATAGAAGAATGGTTAAAAAAGGTGTGGAACATATACACGTTAGAGTTTTACTCAGCGGTAAAAAATAATGACATCTTGAATTTTGCATGCAAATGGATGGACATAGGAAACGCTTTACTGAATGAGGTAAGCCAGACCCAAAAAGAGGAACACGGTATGTATTCACTCATAAGTGGATTCTAACCATAATTTAAAGGTATTTGAGCCTATTTTTCGTGATCCTAGAGAAGCTAAATAAGAAGACGATCCTGATGAAGATTATTTAGCTATCCGCCAGGAGGTAGGAAATAGTCAAGAGTCCCAGGTAACCTTGGGTGCATGGGGGGGGGTGGGAGGGTTGTTGGAAGGGGAGAGGGTTAGAGAGAAGGGAGTAGGGGAGGAATGGAGAAAGCTCGGTTGACCGGGATGGGGGGAAGGGAGGAAGGATGAATAAGGGATCAGGGAAGAATATATTTCAACTAAGGGAGTCATTTTAGGATTTATAGGAAACTTGATTATATATGGGATCCCAGGTCCAAGGAGAGATCCCCAGATTGTTCTCTGGACAGAGGAGAGGGTGCCTGAACCGGCCTTGGCCCACAACCATACTGATGAATATTTTGCATGTCACCATAGAACCCTCATCTGGTGATGGATGGAGATGGAGGCGGAGAACCACGTTGGAACACTGGACCTAGCTCCCTAGGTCCAAATGAGAGGCAGAAGGAAAGAGATTGTGAGCAATGAAGGCAAGGGCACAGGAAACCTTCATCCGACGTTGGATGGCGATACAGATGGAGACCCATATTGGAACACCGAACTGAGCACTCCACAGTCCAAATGAGGAACAGAATGATGAAGAAAATAAAAAAAGTAATCAGGACTGCGAGGGATGCAAGCACCCACTGATACAAGGGGACTGATATAATGAGAGTTCACCAAGGCCTGTTGGACTGGGACTGAACGAGGACATGATCCAACCAGATTCTCTGAATGTGGCTGGCCCGGAGCCTTTTTGAAAAGCCGTTGACAATGACACTGGGACTTGCTTCCTCTGCATATACTGGATTTTGGCGCTCCAGTCTGTTTGGACTCTCACCTTCCCTGGACCTGGAGGGAGGGGGGAGGAACTCGAACTTCCCACAGGGCAGGAAACCCTGACTGCTCTAGGGGATGGAGAGGGAGGAGGAGAGGGAGTGGGGGGAGTGGGAGGGTGGTGGGAGGAGGGGCTGAAATGGAAACTTTTATAATTTAATAATAATAATAAAAAAAGAAAATACCTTGGCTTCAAAATTGAAGTCAAAAGGTATGTTACTTTGGAGAAGAGATTCTGCTTTTGTTTCCACAGAAAACGAGAGGCTCTGGATTTATTCAGAGTTAAGAAAAATCACCTTTGACCAAGGGAGGCCACCTGAAAAATCTCCAACAGGAACAGATGGCCTGGATGTCTGAATTCTACATCCAGAACATATTCAAGACTGCTGCCTGAGATGATCAAGACTCACAGGATACTCCAGTCAGGACTTGATTATAACTCTAAATTTTCTTTAGGTCCCCATAAGATCATCAGCGCCCCCAACCAGCAGGAAGTGGCCTGAAATACTACGCCCACATTCCCAACAAATGGACTATGGGTATTTTTCTTTGTTTAAAAAAAAAAAGAGGGAAATGATGTGGGAGAATTGTCTGTATTCTGTCAATCATATTTTAATAAAACGCTGATTGGTCAGGCAGGCAGTATAGACGGGAAAACCAGACAGGAAGTAGAGGTGATGCAAGGAGAACAGGAGAATTCTGGGAAGCAGAGAGGTTCCTCAGCCACTCCTGCACAGACCACCGAAGAGGCTGCATGTAACTTGCCCAGCTGAGAAAGGTACGGAGCCATTATGGCTAACATAGATGAGAATAATGGGTTAATATAAGTTATAAGAGTTAACAAGAAGCCTGACCTAATGAGCCAATCAGTTTATAATCTTATGGAGTCTTGTGTGTGATTTTCCTTGGGACTTGCTGGCTTATTGGGGTACTGGGCCGGACAGAAACCCCAACAAGCCGGCCCCTCATGTTACACAGAACCAACTCCTCACAAACTGTCACCTGACCTCCACATGTGTGTCCTGGCACACATGCACAGTGAATAAACGTATTTGAAAATACAGAAAAGCACAGTTATACTGTGCTAAGTGCGTTTCCCCCAGTGTATACAGTGGTTTTCTGCTTGGTTGTTTTAAATTCAAGAGGAGAGAAACCATGCATTGGGCCCACAGCCAGAGCAAATCATTGCAACACAAAGCACGAAATCAGCCAACAGCTTTGCCACTCACCCAGTGACTTCGGGGTCACAGCCCAGGACACAGTTTTCCTTCCATTTCCATAGATACAGTGAGAGTCTTTATGGTCTCCCACTGGGACTGCCAGGAAATCAGGAGAGTTCTCTAGGTCCAGACGGATCTGTTCCCAAACCCAGACAGGCAGAGAGAGTCAGAAGCCTAGGATGCAGACAAGGTCAGAGACTTTGCCATGTGTCATAATGGGTAAATCCTGGCACACACTTTGAAGTTTAGATGTTTACACATAGGAATGGTGCCAATGCCTTGGATTTCGCTGTACCAGTGGAGGAAGAGATGTTTCTTTAGACAGACTTTAAATACAAAGTCATTTAGTTGGGCATGGTGGCATAGTCCTATAATTCCAGCACACTGCTGGTTGAGGCAAGAAGGTGGGCACTTTTAGGTCAGCCTGAGCTGTGTGCCCAGTGAGACTATCTGCCTCAAAAAAAAAAAAACTCAAAAGGAAAGAGTAATCTTGTGGAAACCATATCTGAATATAGGGAACATTTACAAAACAGCATGTGGCCAGAAAGCTTTGCTCTAAGTGCTTGCTCCCTTCCGAAATCAGGGCACATCACCTAGCTCTAGGAGGGATATGATGAGCCCTAGGTAATGGGGGTGATGGGGTTCACATTCGCTTCCAGAGCTGTGCCCTTACCCGAATGCAGTGAGACATATAATTGAACACAGTAGCTTTGAGGGTGAAGGCTTCTCCGCGCACCACAGAGTAGGGGAGGGTGAGTTCCAGGAAGAAGGGCTGGAAGACTGTGAGAGAGATGGTGGGGGAGAGACCGAGGCCAGTATATCCGGACAAGCAGAATGCGCTGGCCTTCCACTCAGTGATGGAATCAGGGACCTTCACTGCCAGCTCACTGCTACCTGATAGGCTGGTGTGGAGGAGAAGGACAGGAAAAATCAAAAACAAAAACAACCAGAATGTGGTGACTCAGAAATCAAGTGCAGTAAACATGGGACTGGATCTAGATACTTGATGTTTCTGTTCGGGGTTCTCTGGAAGTCCTCCTCCTTTTCCCGCTCTGTCTCTCCCCCCATTCTTAATTTTTTCTCCCCTCTCTTTCTCTTTTCCTTTGTCCCTTTCCTTTTCTCCTGGTGGAAAAGACAGCTTCCAGTTTTCTGTTACTTCTGTAAACTGGGAGCCACATAAGGAGGAGAAGAAATGTTTCGCTATGAGGTAAGTGAAGGGAAAGGATCCAGGAACAAGAACGACACCAAAGTCCCAGAGTGGGACTCACACCGTCACCTATGCGAAGTCCCAGGGGCACCCAACTCACTCCAGTGGCACCATGTCCCAGATCCAGGTCTCCGGGAAGTACTTCCTCACGATCTCTCTTACTTCCACCTCTGGAGAGTTGTACTCTCCGTCCATCGAGTCTACGCCCATCGCGAAACTAATTCCTCCTCTGTAGTTCCCTGTTGCGACTGCTGCCATAGGTAAGGCTTGAGGTGCTATTGAGAAGACAACACGTGAGCCCCACAGTGAGACCAATGTTCATAACTGACTTTGAATGGTTGTTGTTTCTTAAGTAGGAGAGGGACATCTACCCGATAGTAATTTTTAAAATATTTTTATATTTTTGTTTACTACTTTTCATTTTATACATTTGTTCTGTTGCTTCATGGACTAGAGGTGAGTATATTTTTTCTTTGTAAAGCACACATAACTTTCTCTAAGATGGCTGTTCTCTTGAAATGATAGTCATGTTTCCCACTGACACTGGTGGTCAACACCAAAGACCAGGAAAGGAAATTCACTGCAGCCGGGTTTCAGAAACACGACTCATTTAACAGTGCATGAGATAGAGACACAAACAGTAAACAGTAGGATCTCGGAATGTGTGTGTGCTACACACTCTAGCCTGGGACATGGATCCCAGCTCCATGCGGGACTGTGTATCCCAGGCTAGAGGCTGGGAAATGATGGGCAATAGAAAGTAGGTCTCTGAAGATGCCACAGCAAAAACCAGTCCATCGTCAAAGGTGCAGTGAGTCTGAGAGCTCCCTCACTTGGCGTCATCGATTTCGTTGTAACCTTGGCTGAGCAAACTGCATGTGCACTTTGCCCTGCCCATCACAGATCAAAACACCTGGCACAGACTCCAGGCTGGTGGGTGCTGTGCGCTGCGGTAGTTTTGTTCTCCACAGAAAGGCTGCTGTCCTCAGAGGAGCATAATGGCTGAATTGCAAAAATAAAGAGTTTTAATATTTTCCTTCCAGCCCAGAGACTTCGGGTTGGTCTGTCTCTGGATTGTATCATTTAGAATGTCTGAGTTTTAAAAACTGCCGTTGTTTGAGTTGTTGGCTTGAGTTTGATTAAAAAAAAATGGTTTAATGAATTTTAGCGTGGAATTAGCTTGGAACTGCCAATCATTTCTGAAATGGCCATAAACACGAGACTACTGTTTTTACTATGTATTTATGTGAAGTGCCACTGTTAGCACTGATGAGTATAAAGTTAACATAACAGCCAAGGCTGAGAAACACTGAAGATGCTTCAGATCCTATAGTATCCAACATGCATCCAAAACTTAATCCTTTGTGCAAGAGAGACAATCATATTCATCCCATTAGCGTGCTTATTTGCGTATGTTTTTAATAAATGGCAAATGCATAGGTGTACCAAAGAATTGTTTTAAAATAAATTTCTTAATCATTCACTGTCATTAAACATTTTACATTCATAGCTGTTTGATACAGCTACATGCCAGGGTTGCATCTGAAAAGAGGTTACAAGTGCACAAAGTTTAACAAGTCCATTAGTCACCATGGAATCAGGTGTCACTACAGCTGGTCCTCGTGACTTCACCATGTGGAGCTTAAAAATTAAGATGGTCATTGGTTGATGGCAAGCCAAGGGGGAGGGAGTTCCAGGGAAACAGCTGTGCAAATGTATTCACCACGATGGAAAGGCACCTTCAGAGGCTAATGAAAAGCCTCTCTAGGGTAGAATGTATATTTCAGGAGTGTGCTTACCATAGTCAAACAAGTCATTAGTGTAATTATAGAATAAAACGCCATTGAGGTTAGGATAAAGATGGCTTTTAAGGCAAGACTCAGTGAGGCAAAAGAAACAGACTCACAAACAGCTTCTGTGTGAGCCTAAAGATAAGCCACGCAAAGCTCAGCCCCTGAGACAGAGTGCTGGCCGTGGCCCGAAGTTCAGCCACTGAGACGGAGTGCTGACCGTGGCCTGAAGCTCAGCCACTGAGACAGAGTGCTGGCCGTGGCCT